GGCCGGCAGGTCTCCTGCACAGAGCCCCGGGGTCTGCCCGCGGGTGGGAGAGCGGGGAGGCCCCGGTGCTACCCACTGCCGCGGCAGAGAGCTCCGGAGGAAACGCTGTCCGGAAATCAGAGCCAGCTGCAGGATCAACGAAAGGTGTAATTAAAACTTGAAATCACTTGTTTGGGTGGAAGCTCTGCCCCGGCAGCATACATACAGGACTTGCTGATCCTAGTAAAAGTTGTAATTAGGAAAGAGTCAAAGGTTCTTTGATGCCAAAAGTGGAAGTAAACATGTATTACGGGGGATTTAAGTCTTTAAATCTCAGACTTTGCTGAAATTAACTTTCTTATGCAGATTTTATGACAAGAAGTATGAAGTGTTTTTGAAACTTGTGGAACATCAGAGAGAGTATCGCTCCATCATGAACAGCTTCTAAGCCAGAGTCACAAAATCTGGGAACAGCAAAGATAACAAATTCCCGAATTCTTGGGATGAGAGTAATTTCATCTTACTGCACCGTCCATGTTGAAAACATATTTTTATCATTTAAAGTGTACATTTTGTAATGAGAAATAAAATGCACTCAGTTCACTGTGAAGCACTGGGTATTTTCTGTCAGTGATCCCTGCACCCCAGGGACAAGGAATAATCATTTGTTTCAGTCAGAGGAGACAAGACAACCACCTGTGGGTCCCCCAGTGCTGGTATTTAGACTGGCCACAAGCAGCAGGAACAATGTGACTCACTTGGATGGACTGGAATCGCTGCCCTTTACTATGTTTTTTCACAGGTAACTACACCTGGTCCTTTTAATTTTACTACCTGCTACAGTTGAGACGCAAATATGATTTCCGTTGGAAAGTTCTGTTTGTTTTTTTAACTCTGATTATAGTACTTCTTTGGCAGCTGCTATGTGAGAATCACTTTTGCAGCTGCGCAATCCTTTTCTCTCTGTTTTCTTCTGTTTCCCACTCTTTTTTCGTTGTCCGCTCTCACAGGGCAGTTGTTTTGCTATCAGCAATTTGTGCCATTTTGTCTTCTGTGAGTAACTCGCCCTTAGCGCGCGTAAATCACCGCAGATGTGGAAAGGCCACTGTTGGCATTGAAAGACTGGGTGGAGCAGACACAGTCGCTGAAAATATGTTCCTCATGCAGGTGCGTTCCTTCTGTCCTGCCAGCTGCCTCGCGGGGAGTCAGCCCTGAAACAGCCCAGCCCTGCCTCCCTCCCTGTCCCTTCTCATCACGTTGCTTCAGCCAGACCCAGCTCAGAGCACACGCGTCGACGCAGCTGCGGAGCTGAGCTCAGCGGCAGCAGGTACAGGGAACGCAGCGGGAGAGAGAAAGGGGTTTCCTTCCTCAGACTTGCATTTGTCAAGGCTCGGAAGCCTTCCTGGCTGCCTCCGGCCAAATCCAGTCAACAAAAGGCTTTTATTTGTTCCCAGGTGATTTTGAAGGCTGCCCTGGACGGTCAATCCTACAAGGTATTGGCAGGGAGGGGTATATCACAGTGAGGGGTCGTGGCATAACTGGGCAGTGGAAAGAAAGAGTTTGAACACGCTGGTTCTATGCAGCAAAAATTTCACCTCAGACAATTTTGATTGCTTTGATCTTGCAATATCCAAACACTGCCAGTGCCCTCATCAAAACACCCTCCAAGATGCTTTCTTTCTCTGCCATATGTCTGTTACTTCCTAAGGAAAGATACTGTTCTGTTTAGAAGAACAAAACCAGGTTCACCAGCTGAAGGAGAGGATTCGGAAGCAAGAGGTGACAGAACAGGAGAGCATATTCAGACCAGCTACAACCCTGTGAGAGGTGACTCAAGAGAACCCTTCTTTTCTTCAAACGGTGAACTGACACCCTCCCGGTGAGCCTGTGTTACACAAGAGAAACCAGCTCCAGTCCTGTTCCACAGAGTCAGTATTGCTGTGGATGGATCCCATCTTTATACACTTAGCTTGATAGAAATTCCATCCTTCAGTATTGGCATAGGCTCTAATTCCCAGTTAAATGCAAACAGAAGTTACACAATAACAAAATTACATTTAGAGAACTTGGAAAATAATAGTTTCTCGTTTTTTTTTTTTCCTTATGTTAGTAGCCAGCACTCAAAAACATCTGGCAATTTTTTTAAAGAAACAATGCACTTCCTGCCTCGTAGTTCATGGAAAAGCAATTGTTGCCATTTCCAAAGTACTCATTGTTAAGAGAAACAGCTTTACAAGTTCAGGGACAAAATTAAAGACAATGAAAGTTGATGGGAATAAAATAAAGAAACATCATAACAGAAAGAGCATAACAAACAAGAAAACAACTGCAACATAATGGTATAGCTTACAGTTCAAGGGCACAATAAAATATGTCAGCTGAAAACAGAAGGACAAAACTGTTGGAGGCCAGTGTGTTGTAAGCAATAAATATTCATACGTTTTAATATATTTTAATATACAATTCATATGTAAAAATTATTCTAAGTACAGTTTATACAAGGGCAGATGTGTTGGGTTGTCTGGCAATGTACCAGCATTTTTAACTCTTTGCAGCTCAACACAGACATGCACACACACACCCAACTTCAGCAAACTTTCCACAGACTTCCTGCTATTTATATTGTCATCATAAAATTGGCCTTGTTCTCTCTGGCTGAGCTGGTACCGACGTACGAGGAAGTCACAAGTAGCATGTGACATCTAGAAAGGAAACAAACCACCATCTGGCTTTGTTAAAGCTTAGGTGCACAGGGTTTGAGAAGCTGTGCACCTTCCGTAGGTTTATACGGAAGAGTTGCAGAGACTTACTTACATTTCTTGCATGACTTTTTAATGCTCTTATGCCCTTGTAATATTTTAACTTAATAGTTGCATTTTTGTTCCAAGCCAGTGCTGCTACTACCTTAAACAACCTGGTCTAGTGGTAGAGAGGTGTCCCTGCCCACCACAGGGACGGTTGGAACTTGATGATCTTCAAGGTCTTTTCTAACCTTAACCATTCTATGATTCTACTACCAGTTTCATATTTTCCATTTTAAAATCAGGACTGCACTCAGGGCAGAGCTGTAAAAAAACCCTGTATTCCAGGGCATGTGTAATCAGCTGTGATAACACAGAGCACTGATACATGATTTTGTAGGGCTACTATCTAACATTCCATGTGTTATACAAGACTTAGCAAATTGTTTGCTAAGTTCTCAAATTAAAATTTTATTCAAATTAAGCCAAGACGTAGAATGTTAAAGCTCCAGAGTTCTAAAACTTTTTGACTCCAAGTTGATTGGCATTGTAATTTCAAGCTCAGTTCATAGCTTTAGGCGGTTTCCATTCAGGCACTTTGTATGAAGACAAGTTACAGAAAAATGCAGCATGAACATGAAAGAGCCTAGCAAGTGCACGGTGTAAAATGAGCCTTCTGAGCGCCTGCACATCAAATCATTTGGCCATGCCAAGCATTGCTGAGTCCTGCTTCAGCCTTTGTCAGCAGCGGAACGACAATTCCATCACACGCTGCCCCAAATCAAAGAGAAGCCTGTCATTGCTTGAGGAAGTTTGAGCGAGGAATCCGGCTTTGGGTCGGTCAGGACTCTGACAGCACGCTTGGAGCTGCAGACCTTGCCATATTTACTCCATTAGTTGCAATTTGCTGACAAATATTGATCATGGAAATTAAAAGAAGGGAAACAACCACCATGTCATCAGCTGCTCCGAGTGTCCTACAGAGAGGCCCAGGCTTCGTGTCAAATGGAGAAGACAAGCATATGATTGTTCCAAAGGAGCAAACAGCAACTCTTAGGAAAAAAATCCATACGAGACCACCCCAGGTGAAGATTCCTCGCAAGGCAAGAGTCAGGAATAATGGTGTGTCATAAAGGTAATCTGCAAACTAAATATTGAGATGAATTACATTATTTTGTGTTTGGATGCATGCAGCTCTTTCAGTTCAGTGTGATTTATTAAGCACATTTAGAGTCAAATCTCTTGAATGAAGAAACTTTCTGTGCTGTCTGAATCCGCCGGCGGTGTTCATTATTTTAGCAGTGTCTAGAGGCACACTTCTGAAAGGAATCCCTGCTGCCCCAGCACATAAAAGAGAAAGTATTATGCTTGACATTGAAGCCTTTTGGAAACTGACCCTAATGGCTGCACTGAGTCTTTATGTTGCATCAAGTGTAGGCTAGGAATGCCTGAAAATGAGGGCTCAAGTCTGGCCTTGGTGTGGACAGGAACCATAGGACTGAGTGGTTTTTTCTCTTTGTTAATGCTGGTTTGTTGGGTTAAAAAATAATATTCTCCTCCACAGTGCTCAGTTTAGTCTGCATTTAGTTTAGATTGAAACAGACTCCACAGTCCTTTCAGGCCCCCTACCAAGATGTGACAGCAGAGGAAGATTTGCTTTGTTGATATCCTACACGCTGTCAAGATTGGCCTCGCTTGTGCCTTCAGCCCTTATCTTTCCCATCGTCTCCACTGCCCATCTCATCTCTGTACCAGCTGGGCTTCCAGCTTTAAGTAAGGGCAGAGCCAGTGTGGACTGTTGGAATTTGGCAATACCAGGGGAAAAAAAAGCAGCTGCTTTCTAAGCTGGAATCTGATGTGAAATTTTAGAGGCCAGTTAAAATCCTGGAGTTCAAATCTGAGCTCATATTTGAAAGTTCCAGCCTGACCATCCCTAGTTCTGCTTTCCTTCCTGTATTTCTTCCCACACTGCTGTCTCCTCCCTGCCAGGGTGGCTGCAGGAGGACTCCTCTCAGCCAGAAACTCCGAGAAGCACCTTTACGAGAAGGTGCTGCACCCAGCAGTGGGTGGTAACACTTCCACTATGGTATCGCAAATAAGTGCATGGAAAGGTAATTCACCTAATAGTACAAAGTAGTTCACATTGCTAGGTGTCATTCCAGCCTCTGTGTGTTACGTGCTACTAACTAACTAGGAAAGTGTAGATTTATAAATACTCACAGGTCGAGGCTGCCCTGAGAAACGCTTGTTGTATTCTCGGATGTCGTGTGCAATTTGTTTACTTGGCTTATCTCGTTGCTTTTCACAAGAGATGTTATCCAGAAGAACCACCTTCACAGGAAAACAAGATGGGCATTAACACCGTGTATTTTTATCTCCAGTATAAAGCATAGCGTTCTGTAGGTTATGTCTCTCCACATTCTCTCTCTTGCAGCTGGACCTTGGTCCAGC